ACTGGGGAGCATATTTGATAAAGATAAGATGCTATGATGCATGGCAGCTTGTAACCAGAGGCTCCAGGGTACCAGCCTCTAAAAGAACATAGAGGAAGGAAGATCACCATTGACTGAATCACAGACTTGGACTGACCAATGGGAGTCCCAAGAAAGTCACATGCCCAATTTACAAAAAACAAAAAGCATTCCAGTTTCCTGGGGAAGATAGGTTCTTATCTTACCTCCCCTGAATTAGAATCCCAGCCACTAAAAAGTCATCAATTATTTGACAAACACAGAACACTACATGCCAGGTTTTGTGCTAAATTTGGAGGCAGTGATAATGAATGCAATGTGGTCCTTGTCCTCCTGGTCCTGGGAGCCATAGAGATCCATAGACAACAAATCCTAAGTAGACCACTGTGGGAGAACAGTGTGGCCATCTCCTGTCCATGTGTGGATTTGCTTCAGGTAGAACAAGGGAAGAATCCCCTATGGATTTGATCCACAGACACAGCTAACAAAAGCATTGGTGTGGACCTTACCTAGGTCCTCAGTCCCTGCTGGAAAGAGATGGGACAGAGACAGTCCAGCTGAGCCTGTGGGCCTTTGACATCAGTGACAAAGTGCAGAGCTGGCCCCACCCACTGCACTCCACACTGATGGACAGAGTGTTGACCTAATCAAAGACTCCCATAGCCGGCCCTCTGTCACTATAGGATTTTACACTTCACTTCCCTGTCTCATTTAGGAGATAGGGATCAGTCATGCTGCCTCTGTCTTCCTTCAGGGCTTTGTAGGATCTGATGGGGGTGTTTGTGAGTAGTTTAATATCAGTTAGATAAAGCTGCCCAGATCAATGCTGATACTACACCTGCTGTCCTCCACTGGCCAGCCATAGGACAGAGAACAAAGGTGGGTGGCTTCCCTGGGTCTGTCCAGATAAGAACCTACAGTGAAGTTTCTCCCCAGCATCCCCACTAAATCTACACCCTAACTAACATTTCTCTTTCCTTCCTTCCTTCTTTCCTCCCTCCCTCCCTTCCTTCCTTCCTTTCTTTTTGTTTGAGACAGGGTTTCTCTTTGTAACATCTCTGGCTGTCCTAAAACTCACTCTGTAGACCAGGTTGGACTTGAACTCACAGAGATCCACCTGCCTCTGCCTCCCTAGTGCTGGGATTAAGGCTTGCACCACCACCTCCTGGCAGAATATTCATTTCTTAAACAGAGTGTGTATTCAACAGCATACATGACACAGTTAGGTTCCGTGTTGAGAGAGAGGAGTAAGACACACTGCTGGGATGTGTTCTCATTAAAGTACTGCCTCAGCACAGGCTTTCAAAGCCTCACTTCTCCCACTAGGACCTGAGGAAGTAGCTCCGTGGTGGGATGCTTGCCAAGCATGCAAAAGTCCTGGGTTCCACACCTCACTCCTGAAGTGTGTGTGAAATACAGTAGCCTGCCATTTATTCCATTGTCTCCTCTGTGAGACTGCTGGCAGCGACTTCATAGCCTTCTCTCTGGAGACTCATCGTCAAACAGAATTCAGCAGCATCCTTGGGTTCCTTCTCCCCCAGAGTCCCGACTGAGTAGGGGAATGGAAGGGAGTGGAGTTTAGAGCTCTGTTGTCTTTTGAAGGCTGGTCCTTACCACCCATCATACTTAGAATGCAAATGGCATTGAAGTACATCTTCCCCACTGGATGGCAATGTGCCTGTCTATCCTGTTGCCCCTGGTACGACAACCTAACCAAAGGTGGGCTCAACAAATCTTTACCAACATCAAGCAACCCTTCCATGTTGGCCTTAATATCCCCAATTTATAGATGAGACTGAGTCCCACACTGTTTAAAAATAGTGGACAAGCCAGGTGGTGGCCCATGCCTTTAAACCCAGCATTGGGAGGCAGAGATTAACAGATCTCTGTAAGTTCAAGGCCAGCCTGTTCTACATAGCAAGTTCTATGACAGCCAGAGCTACATAGAGAAATACTGTCTGGGGGCAGGGAGAGGGGGAGAAAAGGAGGAAGAGTTATCTAAACACTATATGTTGTTTTATAAACACGCATAATAGGGCCCATGTCTTCGTATTTCTGTATCCACAGAACCACACATAGATCAGCCAGAGTTTCTTAAGTGGGAGGAAAAGCCTCCTATAAGCCAAGCACTGAGTAATCACCATCAATATCTGGAAACATTCTTAGCCTCTTCTCTGTCTGCCTAATAACTGATTCGCCTACTTCACCTAAGCCAGGCAGATTAGTGAACAATTTCTTTCACTCCCCCTGCTGGTGCCGTGGTGCTGCTGTCATAGTTAATTGATCACCCTGAGTAAAAAGTTTTGCTTCTCACGCAGAGGAATCTCTTAAATGGAAGACTCAATAGCTTTTAATTTATAAGGTCCTTCCATGTGTCACCCATCCACAAAAGCCTCAGAGGCTGGAAGCCGCAAGTGGAAGATCAGTTGCTTTCCACAGACCAGATCACCCACCAGTGGTCCTTCAACAAGGCTGCCTGGTACTTTGCCTGAAACTTAAAAAAAAAAAAAAAAAGTGGGGATGAGAGGGGGCGGGGGGGGGGGACTGTCCCTCCTAACTTCCAGGACCTATAGATTGGTGTAGCATTGGTGTAGCTTCTCTCTGCTGTGGGCAGTTAACACAGAGACACACCCCCTCCCCACCCCCTTACCCCCGCCCCTGCTGATTAGTGTTCTGATCATGAATAGCTGTGGAGAACTCAACCCTAAATGAGAAGTCTGTATCACAGCCCCCTCCCCACGAGGGACGGAGGCAGAAGAGGGACAGAAAGATGATCAGAGCCATTGAAGGAGATGGCTGTCAAAGAGTCTTCTGGGCACACGGAGTCACTGCATTCACGACTCCACAGCATCAGTGGTTACCTGCAAGACCGAGCCAGTCAAAAAGCCAACAGATAGGAAACGGACCGGAAACCCACGCAGCTGAGGAGCTTTGGCAATGGAAGGCTGCTGAAGTAGGGAGAGTCGGTGTTCCTTAGGGAAGTGGCCCCTGGTGGGCTGCCTGTGCTCCAGTAGATGGCCCTGCATAGACCCATGCAGGTGGACAGCACTGGTTGGACTCAGTGAGCTATAAAAGAGGACATGAAGTTGGGAGTGTGCATGGCAGGGAGTTCTGGAAGGAGCTGAAGTGGGAGTGTGGTGACACAGTGTGTGTGTGCATGTGCATGGGTGTGTTCGTGTGTGTGTGTGTGTGTGTGTGTGTGTGTGTGTGTGTGTGTGTGTTAAATGCCAGTCAGGCATAATGGCACATGCCAGTAACCCTGGCCATTCAGAAGGCCGAGGCTGGAGAAGACCTAGTTCAATGTCTGCACTGAGCATTTTGGTAAGGCCTTATATCAAATTTTTAAATAAATCAATCTGCAACAGGTTGTAGGCCAGTGCGCTTGCCTAATGTGCAAAGCTGTGAGTACAGTCCCCGGTACACTCTTCCCTGCTGTAAATTCCTGCACACTGCTTCACACCAATTCAGACAGGATTCTCGTCATGAGCTCCAGGCATTGGCTGCTCTTTCTGTTTTTAAGCTGCTATAGTCCAGGGGTGGGGACCACTGAATTAAAGGAGCTCAGGCATTTTCAGACTAGTAGAGGGGACCGCATAAGCCAGAGTCCCCACAGGGTTCCAGAATTAACATTGCAAGGGTGCCTACAGCCCAGGTCATGAAAAACCAGTGTGTAAATGGGCAGTTAGTGTGCAAAGGGGAACCAGGAAGGAAAGAGCATCTTCCAGGAAGGCTCCTGCACATTCCCGGAAGGCTCCTGCACATCCCTCTATATAGGACTGCACAGAAACTGCGAGTTCACAGGAAGCAGGGCGGATAACTGGGAAACGGCGTGAAAGCCCCACCCGAGCTTTTCTTTCCAGTGAATCTTCCACCCCGGTTGGAAGGAAAGAACTTTGCAGCACAATAAAGTAGCGGAGGTCAGGTGCCTTAACCGCAGACTGCTGAGCACAGGGGAGGCAGTCAGAACGCCACATCTTTGTCTGAATAGGGATTAAGCACTCCTCATTCAACAAGCACCACGCTAGGCACTTGGCACATGTAACCGTACTTATCTCTGTGATAGCAAGTCGAACTAGGTGTTTTTTTGTTTTTGTTTTTGTTTTTTCATTTTATACTGAAGGAAATTAGTACTAATCAGTGCTAAGTAGAGAGCCCGCCACCACATCAAACAAAACGGGTAACACCTGACCCTCATTTCACCAAAGCGTGGGCCTTTTCACAAGCTGGATCTTACGAACTGGGTTTGCTTTGACTGGGGAGCGATGATATGGGGCGAGGTGAGGAGGGGAACACCATGGTGAATAGCCTCTTGAGAATGGATAGCTTTCCAGGAAGCCTAGAGCAGCTTCCTTTAGATGAACCAGGTGTTCTGGGGCAGGGCACATCACGTGTACTCTCTCCTCTGACCAGCCATGGAACCCGAGGAATCATTTGGTGGCTTTGAATCTTCCTTGGCTCCCTTGGGTAGCACAAACACCAGGTGTTTGTCCATCCCCTGTGGAGGCCAGAGTCACAAAGGTGGGACTCCACTGTTCCTTTTCTTCAACCAGGGAAGTTCTGCTTAGGGCCAAACAGGGGTGGAAGGAAACCACTGGGTAGGTTCACTACAGTGCCCAGTTTGATTGCTCTCGTGTCTTTTGTTTCTGCCAGAAATTTGTGGGAGAAATCGTTGCTGTGGTATTGACTGAGGACGTGTTGAATGGGAAGGGTGTGGGGCTGAACATGGAGAAAAGGCAACAGGAAGGAATGGAAAAAGGTGGCCACAGCCTTCCCAGTGACCATCTTAGACAGGAAGTAATCCCATGCCCTTTGGTGTTGAAGAGGGTGTCTAGGGCCGTGGTCATCCCTAACAGCACAGGGACAGGGTGGGCTCCTGATGTCATTGACCCGACTGGTAATGGCTTTTGACTTAGTAGAGTCTATCATTTTCTCTTAACTGTAAAGTTTAAGCAATTTTCTGTTCTTTTGTGTGTGTTTTTCAGATCTTAAATCCAAATTTCATTCAAGAAGGTGAGTATTTAAAGGGGATAGAATGATAATGTGGACATTGGCTACATAGATTATATCTCGCTGTAAGATTGAAACTTTAAGCAATGATGATTTGCTTCTGTATTTACAGACAAGGAGAGGGAATTAAGATAAACTATTAAGTGAAAGAGTGCAGCATGTAACATATGAAAGGGGGTTTTGCTTTGACTAAATAAAGAAAAAATGTTTGTATAAAGTCCAAAGACTATACAGCCAAATGTTCCCAAATGCCACCTCTGCATTATGCCACCATGGAGCGTTTCCCTGTTTTGTTCTGTTTCTAATTTTGCTGTAAAATAGAGGAGCACAGAGGTGGGTGTGGTGGTGCACGTCTTTAATCCCAGCACTCTGAGGCAGAGGCAGGCGGATCTCTGTGAGTTGGAGGCCAGTGAAGAGACGTATAGAGAAGTACACACTGATCAAACAGTGGTAGTCTGAGGGTCATTTGACTCATGATGTCCATCTCTGAGGGTGAGAATACTATGTCTAAGATGACTGTTGTGAGTTTGTGGTGGGTGATGTGAATGTGTATCGATTCCATTGCAGTGGCTCCAGAATTCCTTGTGCCCTTAGTAGATGTGACCTGCTTGCTTGGAGACACAGTGATACTGCAATGCAAAGTCTGTGGGAGACCGAAGCCCACCATCACCTGGAAGGGTCCAGACCAGAATATCCTAGACACTGACAACAGTTCAGCCACATACACCATCTCCTCTTGGTAAGTGGATCACCCATTGTTTGAGCCGAGATCACCCAGAGGCTGGATTCTGGGTGAAATTATCTCTGAATTACTAGTCACCCCCAAAGCACTGTCCTAGTGTTTATTCCAGGTCACACGCTTGGCCTTGATTAGGAGAGAGGCTGAGTTAAAAAGCATGAGTGGCTCAGCCTCCCACAATGGAGCACCCTGTGTTCAAGTCTTAGGCACAGCCTCAGCTGTCCACTCTGCAACTGGCCCCTCAGCCTGAGCTTCTGGTCGATGCCAGCATGCATTGTGTGTGCTGCCCAGCACCAGATGGACATACCGAGGCTAACAGGAACCATCTAGAAACACTCTGTGCTGGACCTACAATAAACAAATAAAGCATTATCTTTGAAATCACAGGCCAAGCCATAGCTATAAAAGGCTTCTGTGGCTTCTGCCTTATAGCCACCCTATTAGATGATCAGTCTGTCCAAGGGTTCCCAGGAAGATCTGTCAGAAGTACTGAAAGCTACCTAACAGCCTGGGGTTAATGCCCTTCAGGATGCTGAGAGATAGTGATATGATTCATTCCTTACCTAAGAACTATTTTATGGGGGACCACATTCCAAAAGTAATATGCTTCTACACTAAAACTCTGGTTGACGGCCTCTCAGCCATTCTGCTAACTTGTCACCACACACACCCCCACCCCAGGAATTCTGAGCATCATTGTACATTGCTGTTTACAAGCAATACTAAACTCTAATGGCTCACCTGTCACTTAGAGAAATGCCTAGAATCGAGCACATTTCATTGATTGGCTTAAATTATTTGTGAGTGTGTGTGAGTGTGTGTGTGGGGGGGCCTTTTTTAGTATTTCCAGAAGAGATGCCTGGTCAGGCCATAAAACCTCATGGGCCTGAGCAGTTCAGTGTGAAAGTCATTGCTGGGTGGAGAACATGTCACACCCTCAGAGATGGTCTTAGTTGACTTTCTATATCTGTGAAGAGACACCAGGACCAAAGGAACCTACATGAGAAAGCATTCATTGGAGCTCATGAAAGCTCACTTTAGAATCTCTACTACCTTCCAGAGGGCGGTAGAATCCATTGCAAGCCAGTAGGCTATAGGATTTTATTTTTCTAATTCATTTATCATTCCACCCCTAGTCTATTATTGTACAGTTTGGGCAGTTGGAATAGCCAGAAAAAACTTCCCCACATAAGGAAATGAATACAGGGCGTAGAGGCAGGTGAGCTGGAGGCATGTGGTCTCACCTCTGCACACCACGCACCACACAGCGTCATTTTCCCTGTCCCTCAACTGTCCCTCACTGGAGTCTGAGGAGATCCATTTAATGTCCTAGTGATTCTGGGGAAATCACCCTCAAGATCTGCAACCTGATGCCCCAAGACAGCGGGATTTATACCTGCATAGCCACGAATGACCACGGATCTGCGTCCACATCGGCTACAGTTAAGGTGCAAGGTATGCTGTGTGTGCTCTCTCTCTCTCTTTCTCCATACTGTCTTAAAGAATCTCTTAACTGTAGCAAACCACAACAATAAGCCTTAGCATCGCAACCACTTGTAAATGGAGAGTTCAGGGCGTTGAGGACATGCCCACTTCTTTGTGGCCATCACAGTCACTCATCCAAATTGTTCCTGTTAAACAATGACTCCAAATTCCTCCCTCCCCACTGTCCTGACTGCCCCCATTCTGCCTTCCCTATTCCTGCCTCGAAGAACTTACACTGGTCATTTTAAGTCAACATGACCAGGGCACCCTGAGACTCGGGGGAAAAAAGGATCTCTCATCAATTTCTAAAGCAGAACCCAGGCTGATGGGAAGAGAAACGTGCCTGCTACCAGTCCTCCAGCATGGTAGCAGGGCCCATCTCCCCGGGCTCCCTTGGACCTGGAGAAAGGGGCGCTACTTGGACAAGGTTATGCGCCACTTTTGAGGCAGGTTTGGCATGTTTCCGGTGCTCTGGGCTACTATGGTATGCACTGAGTTCTGAGAAGCAGCCCCGCCCTGCTGTCTGTCTCCACAGGTGTTCCCGCAGCCCCCAACAGGCCCATAGCTCAGGAGAGAAGCTGCACCTCTGTCATCCTCCGCTGGCTGCCCCCAGCCAGCACCGGGAACTGCACTATTTCGGGGTACACGGTGGAGTACCGTGAAGAAGGTATGTTGCTCTTCTTTTCCGTATTTGCTTCCTCTCGGGAGGTCTTCAGGGTCGTGAACCTGAGACTTCATATGCCCTCCTGTTCGCTGGCCTCAACCTGGCTCGTGCACCCTGGGAGCTTAGCGCAGAAGCCTGGGGGCCAGGCTGCAGCTGCCTGTGGTTCCAAATGGAAACCTCCCTGGGGCCATCCTGGCCTAGCCGCTAGGTGGCAATGTGTCTTCGTTGCATCGTCCTGCTTACCCTACTCAGATCACACAGATTGGCAATTGAGACTAAGGCTGTAGTTAGTATGGTCCCACTTAGTACCTATTCTGTAACTGGCTACTCTGTGGTTTTTCTCCCAGAACAGAAACCATGGTAGGATGATCAGAGTTCCACCACCAGATAAAATCTATAGAATGTATGCATACAAGTAATTTTAATTGTGAGGCAAGAAGGTAGAAAGGAGGGAGGGAGGAAAGGAAGAAAGGAAGTTAATTTAAGCCAGGTGTGGTGGTGCACACCTTTGATCCTAACTAGCACTTGGAAGGTGGTTTTCCATGAGTTCGAAGCCTGGTGTACAGAGTGACCTAGATCAGCTAGGGCTACATAGTGAGACCTTGTGTCAGTAATAAAATAATAGTAATAATAATACGATTTAAAAGGCACTTCTAGGACATTGTACTTGTAACACAGCTCTGAACCTCATCATGAATGACCCAGTCGAACTGAAAGCACCTGTTTGCCCGCCCCGTTTGTTTTACTTTGTTGTCCATTACTATCTATCATTTTCTCCAGTCTTCTTCTCTTTATTAAGCAGGAGCTTAATAAATAGACAAATAGTTACGAAACTCCTTATTTCAGCCTTTTGCTTAAGGGCCAGCACAGGTGTGGCTGCTGAGCCAGGGACCTGCTTCACCATTTCCGAGTTCCGCTGAAACTAAGTTCTCGGAGACAAACTGCTTAGTGTTTCTAAGGCTCTGTTTCTTCCTCTGCCAAGTGAGATTAGTGCTCTCTCCTCCCTTGGGTTTCTGTGAACTTCAGCTGGACTTAAGGGGAGAATTGTCCCGTGCTCTGGAGTGTTTTCACATGCACATATGTTCCCATACACATCAATTTTTTTTGTTTCAATTGCCAGAGGCATGTTTTTCTCTCATTTTGTTATTTCCTTGTGTTTTCTTCCAGCCTGATCACGCTGCCACATAGTCCCTTGTAAAGTCGGCACTAGCTTTTCAGCTTGCACATTTGAGAAGGGCGAGAGTCCCATAGGCCAACTTCTTGCACAGCCTTCATTTAACGTTATGTAGGAAACTGGGCCTAAATCCCCCACTGCAGACTTTCAGAGCCTGGTAGTGACAACACTATCTTTCACACTTATCCTGTCCATTTTCATATCTTTGCTGAAGGCCTTTGAAACAATGTCACTTTGACTCTCTCTCCCTCTTCTTGGAACTGCCCACTAGGTTCCCAGGTCTGGCAGCAGTCCGTAGCCTCGACCTTGGATACTTACCTCGTCATTGAAGACCTTAGTCCCGGGTGCCCTTATCAGTTCCGGGTCAGTGCCAGCAACCCTTGGGGAATCAGCCTTCCCAGTGAAGCCTCAGAGTTTGTGCGCCTTCCAGAGTATGGTGAGTCCCAGCAAGCCCAAGGCAGCTAGCCAGCAGAAGCAAGGCAGTGGACAGTAGAAAAATCATCGGTGTCTCTGACCCCCATTGGGAGGTATCTGGGGCTGCATGGCGGCTTCTGTCAGGCCTCCTTTGAGAGAGACCAGATGGAGTATCTCCATGAGGTATATCGGAGCCAACATTAGGTCTACCACCATTACTGACTCTGGGGTTCCTCAGGGGAACCTGGAGGCACAGGCAGGAGACCTGTGTCCCAGGGTGCTCTCTGGCTTTGGCCCTTGTCTGAGATCTCTTTTGGAATTCAAAGCCTGTTTGCCCCTGTGTGCCCCTGGCAGGCATCTGCTGAACACAGGACTGCTGTCTTCCACAATGTAGAGAAAAGCAACCTGGATGAAGGGCTTCACTGCCACATGAAACACTGATACTTAGCCCACCCTTCCAGAATTTAGTTTCCAACATGGATCCATTTTATCTACATAAAAGAGAACTTGACTAAGACATACGCGTAACTAACTAGAAATGAGTGCTTTACCAGTGCATTCTTATTTTGCCCACCTTGCTCTCTGACCCACCTTGTCTGCCTATCTTGGTCCCACAGACTGAAGAAATATCCCATTGGTGACACGTTAGGCAGTAGCAGAAGTGGTGTGTGTATGCTGAGGACGAGAGAGGAAAGGGTGGAAGTGTCACCACACTTAAAAAGCAGCCGCCCACAGCACACCGTTAGTCCCAGCACTCGTGAGGCAGAGGCAGGTGGGTCTCGGTGAGTTCGAGGCCATCCTGGTCTACAGATCGAGTTCCAGGACAGCCTCCAAAAACAATACAGAGAAACCCTGTCTCCAAAAACAAAAACAAAACAAAACAAACAAACAAAGCAACAGCCCTGTGTCTCTGTGGGTTAAGGGAAGTCTACAGTCCCCACAGGGCCTTGACCAAAAATGCCCTGCAGTCCCAAGTCATGATCAGCCCAGTCAGTTGCTTGCCCATGGTCTTGACTTGTTCTCACATGCGTGTTACTCTCTGGAAAAAGGTGGCCCTGAATCCACATGTCCTCAGAATTCATTGTGGGCATGCCACCAGCTCATGCTCCGGGAGAGCTGAGGTGACTGACCAGTGTGGAGTCTGAAGAACTGAATTGCTGATACAGTTCCCTTCTTTCCAAGCCACCAACTCAATGTGACTTGGAATGGTGACCATTTTTTTTATTTTGTTACTTCTAAGGCCTAATACCCAGAAGACAATACAGATGCCTCCGTGTGTATGTGTGTGTGTGTGTGTGTGTGTGTGTGTGTGTGTGTGTGTGTGTGTGTGAAGAGAGCTCACATATCATACAAGGTCAAGCTAAATCATCTAATCACCCACAAGAACCAATTGTGAATTATGTTCAGTTGTCCCATAGACAGGTTGACTTGCCCACGCCTGAGGACTTTTGTGCCAGGCAGAGAAATGTCTTTCATGCTTTGCTCCCTGTTTCTTCTGTGACCTTTGGCTTGTTCATTCTCTCTGCATCCTCCCATGCTCCTCATTTTCACTGTCCTTTCTGCTTCAAAGTGTTCTCCTTCCCCTTTCTCTACGTTTCTGGTTGGGTCCCTAGTTCTCCCTTTGTTTGAGGAGATGGCAGAGAGTGTCTGTCTGACTCTTCCATATCAGTTCCCCTCAGACATTTTAAAAATAACATTCCAGAGAACCGCCACAGCCTTCCCCACTGAGAGGCCTCCATATTTAGTTGGGAGAATTCCCCATTGGTTTTATGCAGCTTTTTTTTGTGTGTGTGAAGCTTTTCTTTCTTTTCTTGTGACATTCCTAATATCTCTTGTGCATTCTGCCTCTCCCAAAGATGCAGCCGCTGATGGTGCCACCATTTCTTGGAAAGAAAATTTTGATTCTGCTTACACCGAACTGAACGAGATTGGCAGGTAAGGGCAAGCCACCTCACAGCAGGAGAATGATCAACCTGATTTTGTTGGTCTTGCTTTCTCTCTTTCTCTCTTCCTTCCTTCCTTCCTTTCTTTCTTTATTTCTTTCAAGACAGGCTGTCCTCTAGCTCTTAGACCAGGCTAGCCTTGAACTCACAGAGATCCACCTGCCTCTGCCTCACGAGTGCTGGGATTAAAGACATGAGCCACCAGCACCAGCGTCCTGTGAATTTTCTACTATTCTTTTTCTTTACCTGAGTTGGAAGCTGGCCTCATCAACACTTAGCCTTTCATTTTCTTTCTTTCTTTCTTTCTTTCTTTTTTTTTTTTTTTTTTTTTGCTTTTTCGAGATAGGATTTCTCTGTAGCTTTGGAGGCTGCCCTGGAACTCACTCTGTAGACCAGGCTGGTCTCAAACTCACAGAGATCCGCCTGCCTCTGCCTCCCGAGTACTGAGATTAAAGAGGTGCACCACCAACGCCCGGCCGCCTTTCATTTTCTAATATAAGATTTTTAAGCCTCAAATTTTTCCTAAAAGTGTAATTTTAGCTACGTGTCCCAAATTTTGCTCTATGTTATTTTCATTATCATTGTTTCTAGGTATTTCTTTCAACTATGGTTTATTTTTTGAGCCAGTTGTAATGGGCTACAAATTACATAGAATGCTTTAATATGTATGAGATGTTAAATTATATTTTGTTACTCACTTCTAATTTCATTGCACTGCGATTAAAAAAACTTGCCCAGACTCTCTGTGTGGGTAAAACATAGCAAAGCTTTGTAAAAAAGTTTTATGTATCTGGGCTCAGTGGTTAGAGAACTGGCTGCTATTCCAGAGTACATGGATTTAATTTCCAGCACCTACATGGCAGCTCACACCATCTGTAACCCTCGTCCCAAGGGTTCTAACAATCTTCTGACCTCCGGGAGCAGTGTACACACATGGTGCGCAGACATACATGTAAGCAAAATAGCCATGCACATAAAATAATAACAAAGGGAAAATTTTAAAGTCTTGTGTATTCATCTTACTTTTTTAAAAATTAATTTTATTTATGAGTATGACTATTTTGCCTGTATGCATATCTGTGCATCACACATATGCCTGATCCCTGCAGAGGCCACAAGAGGGTGTTGGATCTCCTGGAATTGGAGGTTGGGATAGTTATGAGCTACCATGGGGGTGCTGGGAATTGAACACTGGTCTTCTGAAAGAACAACGGTGCTCTTAACCATTGAGCCATCTCTCCAGCTCCATCATTATGAATAGAAGTATATTTTCTTAGAAAAGAAAATAAACCCACATGTAATGCTCAAAATGGCAGAACAATATCTTGACTTAAAAAAATGATATTAGTGGGGGCTGGAGAGATGTCTCAGAGGTTAAGAGCATTGACTGCTCTTCCAGAGGTTCTGAGTTCAATTCCCAGTAACTACGCTTGACTCATAACCATCTATAGTGAGATCTAATGCCCTCTTCTAGTGTGCAAGCAAACATGCAGACAGAACACTGTATACATAATAAATCAATAAATCTTTTTTAAAATATGACATTAGTTTACATTTGGCATCTCAAAGAGCCCTAGGATACTAAGGAAGGAGTGATGGCTTTATTTAAAAAATAATATTATTATAATTAAAAGTACAAAAGGAAGGATTTCTTTTTACTTTGTTATGTATTAGTATGTATGTGTATGTATTATCTGACCTCATGTGTGGAGGTCAGAGGACAATTCGTGGAGTCAATGCTCTCCTGATTTTATGTAAGATCAAGCCCAAGTTATTAGGTTTATATCTTCAGACAGCAGATGCCATTGAGCCAAACCACTGGTCCCAGAAGGAAAGGTCTCTCTTTTTGTTTCAAATGTATTTGTTTTTATTTCGTATTTTATGAGTATAGTTAAGTGTCTGTGTGTATGTGCCTGCACCACATGTGTGCCTGGTGACTGAAAAGTCCAGAAGAGGGTTCAGATACCTTGGAACCAGATGCTGGAAATCCAACCCAGATCCTAACCTCTGAACTATCACTCCAATCCCAGAAAGATTTCTAATACTGCTTGATAGCTCTTCTTCAAAATGCTTTGGACCAGAAGTGTTTTGCACTAAGGGTTTTGGGGAATGTGTACATTTATACAATGAGATGTCTTGAGGATGGGACCCAAGTCTAAAAAAATCATCCATATTTCATGCACACCTTAGCCTGGAAGTAATTTTTTGTGCTATGTCTAGTGTACCAGCATTTTGACTGTCACTTATGTGAAATCAGATATGGAACTTCCCATAGTGATCTCGTGTCTACACTCAAAAGGTGTCAGATTTTAGGGCATTTTGGATTTTGGATTTTTGGATTAGGGACGTTCAATCTGTAAAATGTTACTGTCTCAGCAATTCCAGTGAGCACATGCACATGTGTACACACACATACACATGCACACACACACACACACACACACACACACCCTAACATATTCTGGTAAGTGATACCCTGCTGACTGATGAACCTTGGAAAACCTTTTCTTCTTTTGTCTTGAAGAGGCCGTTTCTCTATTGTAAAGAAGTGCATTCACAAAGCTACCCGTAAAGATGTTGCTGTGAAATTTGTGAGCAAAAAAATGAAGAAGAAGGAGCAGGCTGCCCACGAGGCTGCCCTGCTGCAGCACCTGCAGCACCCCCAGTATGTCACTCTCCATGACACCTACGAGTCCCCCACGTCCTACATCCTGATTTTGGAACTGTGAGTACAGGGGTCAGATCTCTAGTGTGGTCCTCACCTGCTTGGGTCATCCATTGCCTGCAATTAATGGACTAGAGTCACATTTTGCACCATGTTTTATGGTTTACAAAGTGCATGAGCCATATGCACTTTCACCTCCTGTTTTATATAAATGTAGATCTCATTCTACAGACTAGAAAATCAAGGATAGAGAAGGTCTTAATGCTAGCTCTACAAGAGTACAGATGGGAAAAAAATGGGCCTTGAACCCACGTCTCCTCACACCACACTTCCTTATTTTTCTAAGTTTTATTTCATTGTTCATATTTATCAGGTACAGTGTTTCATCTCATATATACATATATATATACATATATGTATACTGTATGATCATCAAATAAGGATATTAACATACCTATCACCTTAAACATCCATCATTTCTTTGTGACAAAACATTAAAAAATTCTTCTCTAGCTATTTGAAATACATGAACAGTTCATATTGCTAACTATAGTCATCGTACTATAGACTAGATCACCAGAATTTGTTTTTCTTCCCTAAAAGTAATCTGTACTCTTCTCACTTTCATTTTCATTTTCCTGCTGTTGTATACTCTCAGGCTTGGCCGGCATTTAAGAAGGGTTTACTGGTTCAAGGCTGGTTGACAGGAGTGGAGTTGAAATGAGAGGAGCTTGCCCATCCATCAATAACCGTAGCACCCCCAACCTACTACCCTATTCTTTCAGGGTGGAATTTTTCCTCCAAGACATTCCAGGAGTAGCAGATTATCTAGATAATAAGTGTAGAAAGACACAGATCTTATCCTTTGAGGCCATAAGTCCAGGGCATAAGACCAAGAGATAAATACTGCTTTAAATATGGCATGGGAAATACTAGGAACCATACATTAAACAGAGCTTTAAGAACGTACAACAGTGCTTTGCTGGATGTGAATGTAAGGGAAGATGTGTGGGAAGCAAGACCTATAAGCTCTACCTATAGGTCTCCTGTAGCGGTCAATAGAGATTTCTGATGGCACTCTCCTCCTCCAGGCAATGGAGATTTTGATTCCCTGGTCTAGGAAGGATGCAGACTGGGGAATAGCTCCAAGATGGGTGGGGTGGCTGGTGCTTTGTGGGCTTGGAGCAGTATTGTTGTAAATGCTCTCCCTTATTTGCTCCAAGTATCTCTGGGAGTTGAATGTAGTGGCCCCAGTACCAATCTTCTCTGCTCTGTCCTCTCCTACCTTATACCTAGTAGGTCAGAGGGAGGTAGAGACCCTTCCAGGGCCTCCACCCTTTTCTTCTGTCAAGGCAGTAGAAGAGTCTCCTAGCAAGGAACAAACTAGAGGAGAAAATGAAGACGATCATGCCAGTTTCAGCTGTGGTTGAAAGTTATTTGTACCCTGGATTACACTCCTTGACATGAGCATTTCCTGAGATGTATCTCAGACGACAACTCACTGCATCTGAAAGAGTTTGATCACTACTTGTTACAAAGGGACACAGGGAGCCTAGAAATAGCTACTGCTTACTCAGTACTCTCTTAGTTACTTCTCTACTGCTGTCAGGAGACACCATGACAAAGGCAGTATACAGAAGGAGTTTACTGGGGGGCTTTCAGAGGGTCAGAGTCCATGACCATCATGGTGGGGAACATGGCGCCAGGCACGGTGCTGGAGCAGAAGCTGAGAACTCACATCTTGATTCGCACACACAAGGCAGAGAACTAGCTAGTGACACACCTCCTCCAACAAGGCCACACCTCCTGATCCTTCCCAAACACTTCTACCAACTGCGGACCAAGTACTCAAACATATGAGCCTAAGGGAGCCATTCTCATTCAGTCACCACAAGCACTTTCTTACAGTATCAATTATGTCTTACTTCCTCATAGCCTTGCCTGGCTCTTACACAAGGCTGGCAAAAAAAAAAAAAAGATCTTATTTTGTTGTTGATGTCACTGTTGTCACTGTCCTGCTGCCATTCCCACTTTAAAACTGGATGTGCTTCAGGGAAGCCAAAACAAGAAAGGGTTTAAAGATAACCTGCAGCCACCATCTGGCAAGTGGCAGAACCAGAAACCAAATCTGCATATGGCTAACTCCACTTATCACATTGCCAGTCAGTCTTTAAAATTTGGCAAGCTGCCAAGAAAGGTGAAGGAGTCAAGAAGAGACCAAACATGACAAGATGAAGCCTATCCTACTTCACATGTCTCTCATCTAAAAGTGTTAAGAGTGAAATCACTTTTAACACATAAGGCTGACTGTAAGCACCCAACATCCCCCCCAACCTAACCTTAAAGCCAGACTAGGCCTTGAAGTCAACAAAACAGTGTTCCCTAAGCGAGGTTCTAAGGATTTCTGGTGGAGCTTAACATGTTTGTAACTCAATTCGCTCTAGTTCTGAATGTGGTACTCACTTTGGGCTCTGAAATGTGTGTGTTGCAATACAATCTTCATGCATAAGAGACACCTTAGAGCTTTTAAGCTTTACACAGGGGTCATTTCTCTGCTTCTCCCCAAACACCCTTTCTCCCCACTCCTTGCTTTCAGGATGGACGATGGCCGACTCTTGGACTACCTTATGAATCATGATGAGCTGATGGAAGAAAAAGTAGCTTTCTATATCCGAGACATCACGGAAGCTCTGCAGTACCTTCACAACTGCAGAGTGGCACACTTAGACATAAAGGTAATGCAAAACCAGCACCTGTGCCAACAGACAGTAGCCTAACTTACCAGCTATCGCCTTGAGGAGTGTACATTTGTATGTCTTTTTTCGGATGGGGTGGCATCAGAGGTTTCGAGATAGGGTTTCTCTGTGTAGCCCTGGCTGTCCTGAAACTCACTCTGTAGACCAGGCTGGCCTCAAACTCAGAGATCCCACTGCCTCTGCCTCCTAAGTGCTGGGATTAAAGGTGTCCACCACCACTGCCCAGAAAATTTTTATTTTTAATGAAAAGCTTCTGTTTTCTTAAAAGGCTATTTATTTTCTTGATTCATTATAAAAGCAAAGGTTGGATAAGAAGGCATGCTATTCTGGAATAGGTGTGTGACTTAGAGGCAGAACACCTAGTTAGCATGCATAAGGCCCTGAGTTGGATTCTTAACACCAGGGTGGAGAAGCATAAGCTAGGTACAGTGGCCTACACCTTTAAGCTCAGCAGTCAGGAGGCAGAGACAGTAGGATCGCCATAAGTTCCAGGCTAGCCAGAAGTACACAGTTAGCACTGTACCCCTCCCACAAAGGCACAATTCTCAATACCAAACAACTTACCTAAAGGACCACCTAAACTCAGAGTTCAGTGAGTTCAATGCCAGACTTTGAAAACTCCTTTGCCTTTGCACAGGGAATATTGAAGAAGGATATTGAAGAATAACAAAACCATGTTTAGCTAACAGATGGCAGCTGGTAGTCAACAAAGACCTGATCTTGCCTCTTTTTTCCCACCTTCCTGGTTCCCTGTAGCCTGAAAACTTGCTCATTGACCTCCGGATCCCAGTGCCTCGAGTGAAGCTCATCGACTTGGAAGACGCTGTCCAGATCTCAGGCCACTTCCACATCCACCATCTGCTGGGGAACCCTGAGTTTGCTGCCCCAGAAGTGATCCAAGGCATCCCCGTCTCCCTGGGCACAGACATCTGGAGCATCGGGGTCCTGACGTATGTCATGCTTAGTGGGGTCTCCCCGTTCTTAGATGAGAGCAAAGAGGAGACCTGTATCAACGTTTGTAGGGTGGACTTCAGCTTCCCCCATGAATACTTCTGTGGTGTGAGCAATGCTGCCAGGGATTTCATCAATGTAATCTTACAGGAAGACTTCCGGAGGCGGCCCACAGCGGCCACGTGCCTGCAGCATCCCTGGCTGCAGCCCCACAATGGCAGCTACTCCAAGATCCCCTTGGATACCTCCCGCCTGGCCTGCTTCATAGAACGCCGCAAGCACCAGAATGATGTGCGGCCCATTCCCAATGTCAAGAGTTATATTGTCAATAGGGTGAACCAAGGGACCTAGCCATCCCCCAACCCCCGAGGTTTCACATAGAAGTGTGGTGTGAACCAAAGCAAGACTGAAAATGTCTGTAAATAACTCTGTTCATCATTTCACTCCATGCGGTTCTCTGGATTGAGAGGTGGTCCTCTTAAACCTAGTCTGTGGTTACGCAGGGTTGGAGCGGCATAAACGTGACCCCATTCCCGGGAGCATTCCAGAAGGTCATGCTGAAGAGATAAAGATGCAGAGTTGCAGGAAATATTAAAAGAAAGGGCAAGACTGAAAAGATAAAAAGTTAATTGTATATTCCAAACTGAGTGGTGAAGTGGGCAAACGGTCTACCCACTGTGAGGAGTATAATAGGTTTCTGACTCCTTTGGAAATTTAAGCTAAAAGTTCTATTTAACAGAGATGTCAACTATTCTGTTTTAGATGGTTTAGATATAGTTTCTTAACAGGATAATATACACATACAGTATAATAGATCCCATTCAGGTTTCAGAGTTTTATAATATAGAGTTCTATATGAAATCAATCATAAGTAACTTTGAGTGCTCCCGTTAAGACAGTAATTTATTTACCGAAGCATTGCATTATTTTGACTAAGCACAATTAGATGACGAGTTTTTTAGAGCATTTTATAAATCTTGTATAGAAATCTTTTATCAGAACCTGTGTATTAAGAGAAAGTAATGTGACCCTTTTGCGCTCTGTGAATGAGATATATATTTTCCCTCCATCATGGGTTGTTTGAGTAAGGTAGGTTCTGATTATCAAAGGTTCCCCCTGAACTCACTGACAGCTCAGAGTTCCTCCTGTGGGAAAGCCAGGAAATAAGTCCAAATCTAGTAAGAGTTGGGGGTTGTTTTATGTCCACACCAGGCCTGACGTCGGTAAATGATTATCAGGAGTGCACACAAAAGGGTACATAGAAACTTTTCCTACAGTCCCTGTGAACAACACAGCCACTCTTTCTGGTTTCATGGCTGTAGAATACAGTTTCCAGAAAGCTAGCTTGCTTTATTCCTAACCCCTCATGAAGCTTCAGGGTGCTTACCAAAAGGAGGCAGCCATATAAGCCTTTTAAAGGCTACCCTAAGTCCTTCCTGAAGCCATGGAGCAAAGTCTGATCCATTCCTCTAAGACAGCATGGGTTTTTAACTGGGATAGCAATACCTATCACCATGCAGCCACTGATTCTCTGGACTAGAAAGACAAACTGTATTCCAAGACCAATGCTGCTTTCTCCATACAAGATAACTAACTGCCCGGTGCCCCCTGGAGGGAAAACAAATTAACCAGGGCATTTCATTGGTTTTGGGAGGTTTTGATTTTTGTTTTTTTCTGTTGGGGCGGGTGTGTTTGTACATGATCCATCCTTTGTTTTCTAGGGTGTGTTTTTAAAAATGTCTTTATGCAAATAACATTCTAAAACTATAAGTCAAGTGTCTATGTAAATTAGGCTTCATGTCATCATGTCTCTCTTGCTAGTGGGATTGAGAAAATTGAAATTATGTAGTACAAAGTGCAATCAGAGAATTTGGGGAGGGAAAATAAGCTGCAAAATCATTTTAACTATTTAAAGAAGAAATGATGGGAACAGTCTGAACTTTAATGTGTAAAGTCACGTATTTCCATGGTGGAAATGCAGAATTAAAATACTCATTATTTTCCCACCCACCCCCATTGGTTTCAAAGTCAAATTACTCGTTAGTAACCCTCCATCTCATCTCATCCAAGATTATAGAGTAATAAATTAGTAGAAAGTAAAAGCAATAAGATTAGATAGCACCTAGTATTTTGGGGATTAACCAAATATGTGGAAACCGACTCTGACTGTATAGTTTCCTTGTCTTCGGGTTGCCCTGGGTCATTGAGCCTCACTCCCTCAGAGTTTGCTAACCCTCCACATTCTTCACTTAAACCATGGTGTATACACACACATATAAAACCACATGATACCATATTTAAAACATGGTTACTAAACATGCTTACTAAAGTTTTTTTTCTAGTAAACGTGTCTTTATTATGAAATGTAGCATGAAGGAGGATGGCCTGGGCCCAGAGGGCTTCTTATGGGGTAAAGTACAGGCTCTGAGGACTCCAAAGACTCAGAAAGTGACATGACCAGATCTGTTCTGTCCATGAGGGCTGCCTTGAAAGAAGGGCCTCTTGAGCGGTCTTAAAAGTGTTTTGACTGGCTGAGTTTCTGTTAGGGAGGAAAAGAGCCTCGGACAGTGACGTCCAGATGTCACAGGAGGGCCATATTGAACATGTGTTGTGAGGTGACAGAATGCTAAGCAGAGCCAAAGTTCTCACAGCCATGTTTGTGTCAAGGTTGGGGTGATCTAGATGTGGGGCTGCATGGATTCGTGCCAAGTACACAGAGAAGTCAGGAAAGGATAGAAGAAGGGAAAGTAATGAGGTTGTCTTAACGGCAGCCCCAGTACAACTGTTAGAGTAGTGCAAGCTTCAGAGAGGGCCCATGAGAAAGGGGACACATTTTCTGTAGTTTGATGACTGAAATGAACAGGGAGGCCCCTATCTGCAAACGCACCTGGTCCTTCCAACAGGCAGCCAGATGGTCTTGACTCAAGAAATCTCCCTAGCAAGCTGGGAATTAGGAGCAATCCCATTCATTGACGGGGCTGGGAAACGTAGTTTGGAGTGCAGTTGTGCTCCACAGTGGCCAGAGAAGAAGAAGCAGGGCCACTCGCCTGCACCTGCTTTCACTGGGAGATTTATCACTAGGAGAGAAGAGGGGAGAGGAGAGAGACTCTCCCACCCCTGATACCATCCCAGTCGTCCGCACTGCAGTGGACTGCCAGCTAGCCCCAGGACAACAGTGCCCAGCAAGGTCGCAGGCGTCTTGTTTGGCATGTATTCATTGTTTTGACCTCTTTTGTTTTGTACTAAAAGGGTGGGGTACAGAGCAATGGAAAAGATCAGGGCCAACCCATGATCCTGGATGAGAAATCTAATGAATTTTTACCCCTTTTACATTTGTTTCAAACGAAACAGATTTCTCTCCACTTAAAACTGAATGTGGTAAAAACTGTTAAGAACAACATCGTAACGCTGGATGTGTCCTTCAGGTCTCTCCCAACCACAAGCAACCTAAGTGGGGGTGGAGGAGGCAGAGGGGAAAACTGGCCTCACAAAGCCTTTATAAATAGTAGTGCCTTTCAGACGGGAGGTGGGGAGTGAAGTTCAATTGCATTTAGATTTGCCGATACTGCAGTATTTTTTTTCCTTAGGTTTAAGATATCTTTTAAATGAAAACAACTGAATGTAGGACGGGACCAGGCATTTCGGGTATTGATCTCAGCTATTCCAAATTCATTCTTTCTGGTTTCTGCCCCATGTCCCCATTGATAAAATGGAATTTGGGGAGATGGAGAGAGAACATTAATCCCTTAAGAATGTTTAGGAAAACGTCCTGGTTGACACACCTACAAAATATTTTTGATTTCCTTAAAGTGCTACACACTGCCAGTGCTAGAATTTTATTGACAATGACTTTGAACATTCCAGTTTCCCACGGTTATATCTTTGGATGCCATTTACAAACTTAAGAGGCTAAATGTTGTAAATTGCTTTTCACTGGAAGTTCCAGGTGCTCCTTGTCTGCAATGTTATTTGGCCTCAGCTTTTAATTTCCACCCTGGTCTATAGAAAAGGGTTAGGAGAGCTGACAAGGTTCAGAAGCTGTTTTCTCTGGTATTTCTTATGGCAGACATGAGAGTCTGATGCCTTCCAAGATAGACAGCCATTCCCTTCTTTTCCCAAGCTATGTGCTCTGGGGAAAACTGAACAAAGAAGAATCCAAACAGTTACTCTCCTCACTGGGAGGACAGATGTGAGAATAAACACCCTCCCATGTCACAATTCATTTGAGTCTCACAAGAGTCTGCTTGAAAAGGCAAGTGGTATGCATGGGAGTTGGGGGGTGGGCAGAGATGAACTGGACAGAGAGCTTGGGCTCTGGTCTTTCAAGACTAGTCTTCTCTTTGCCCCAAATCTCCATGCCTGGGAGCCACTCACTACTACTTTTTTTTCTTGCCTATCTGGAAGAACATGGAAATTTATATCTGCGAGAACATGAGGGAGAAAATATTATCTAATGTAAACAGTGGTTATTTCTGTGTTAATTGAAGCTCTCTCCTCCATACCTGATAGAGGGGAAATCCATCGAACACAAAGGGTCTCTGTAGTAGACAAAGTACCCACTCATCACATCCTAGGATAGCCCATGAATTGTCCTGGATGAGTTTTGAGGAATGTAGACCATACTCCTTTCTTGCCTGGATAACATTCCAATGGAGTCTGAGTTAGACAAACATACATAAGCTTTCAACAGATTTATTTGTAAAAAGCACCTCATGATTTTTCTTTGTTATTTAAAATCTAAACACCTTTAGGGGAGGAATTTTTAGTCCCAGAATAGACTAAAGGAAAAGCTCACCAACAGAAAAGAAGGTACTAGGATAACAGTTACTTTCTGAAAACTGAAAGGCTCTCATTGTCTCATTCATTCTAAAGAGCTCAAAAGGGCTGAAATTTGTCCAGAGACTTAGACGTTTTGGTAGGAAATGTTTTTCATGAAAAATGTATATGAAAACAGAAATAGTATATGGTCATATTTTTTATGAAAGACGTTTTCCCTTATTTTTTTTAAATATAAGTTGAAGTTATAGGAGAATACAGTCATTCTACTACAGTGCTTTAATCTGTAAGTGATTTTAATTAAAAGCCTAAAATTAACACTCCCACAGCTATTGTCTTTTCCTATCAGCCTGTTTGCTAAGAAATTCCAAACTGTGGTCAGATTTATCCAAATGACCAACCTAACAGTTTAGTCAGATAAACCTCTTTCAGTGAAAGGGGAAGAGCAAGAAAATGTGCAAATAGCAAGTCTTGGAATTCCTGAGCATAATTTAACCAAGTCAGTTTGCCAGTCCAGGGATAAGAGTTGCATCAATTCCCCACCTCCATCAAAAACTAAGTCCAAATTCTGGAGTCCCTGGAGACCGTTACTGTGACCTCAAAGACTGTGGCTATGAACCTGAAGTTAACAAAGCATTTGTCTTCTCCTACTAACTGAAGCCATATCTATCACCTTTGTATTTGATTTCGTTTGTTTGTTTTAGCCCTGGTGCTTTTACTTCTGTGTCTGCCAAACTTCAGATCACTCTGTGGGGAAGTAACTAAAAACTGGAAGAGGGACAAACAGAGAGACTGAAAAACTAAACACACCCTTGAGAATGCTATTTATTCAGAGAACAATGGCAATGGCAACTGAGGGCAAACTGTTGGAAAATATGGATATATGTACATCTGTACATGTATATAGTGTATCATATGTATGTATATGTTATTGCTCATATGCAGAAATCTATCCATTTGCAGGCAGCCCAGGTGGGTCAGTTTTTCTACTGGAAAACCATTTAGGACTATTCAAAACCATTAGGGATAATACAATGAGAATTCTATTCACATGGGAATTAATTTGGTGTCTTTTGAAGTCCACATGGCCAAACAAACAAATTATGAAACACATTGGGACCATTGTTTATGTGACTCTGTTTCCTCGGAAGTCTACATTTGTATTCTTTTGTGTGTGTGATTTGTTTTTGTTGTTGTTTTGTTTTTGTTGTTTTGAGACAGGGTCCCTCTGTGTAGTCCTGGTTGACCTGGAACTCACTCTATAGACCAGGCTGGATAGAGATCTGCCTGCCTCTGCCTTCCAAGTGCTGAGATTAAAGGCATGTGCCATCACGCCTGGCCTACATTTGAATTTTAATATCTGATTTGTAAACTGTGCCCACACTTTTTGGTTTTGGGTGATCCCCTCCCCTAAAGTCTTTTGAGAATTTTGGTGGGCTCCTCTGGCCATTCAGATAAAAGGCCTTATCCATAAGTGGACAGGTTTCCCCATAGGGACCATTACACATATACATATAAATACATACTTCCATCAGGCTTGTAACAATTGATTCAAAATCACTCCACAGTATTGGTAAATAGCTCTATATTTTCAAGGTGCAGAAGAATTCCACAGCCTTAATTATTTCAGTGTCTTGCTGGTCTGCCTTAAGTGTATCTTCTGGGGTTTTGGGTTTTGGTTGTTTTATTATTTTAAATTTCCCTGCAGTTGTTCATTTTGTATGCACACAATGTTGTTTTGTAAAGGTAGGTTGTAAATATTTTATTTGTAAGTCAGAATCACTCATGTGTAATGTTGTAAAGTGCCGACCTGCTGTCTTGTTATTATTACTGCAGTAAATGTTATAAGTTGTGGATGAAGTTTCAAAAAGTACATTTCACATGTTATGCATTCCTATAAATATAATATACTGAAGATACTATTTTTAGTTGTCTCCCACCTTAAAAATGTTATAACATTTATTTGTGTGTGTGTGCGTGTGTGTGTGGTGTTTGAGCCACAGTGTGTATGTAAGAAGACAACCTGTAGGAGCTGATTCTTTCCACCATGTGGGTGGATCCCTTAGGTTGAACTTAGGTCATCAGGCTTGGTAGCAAGTCCCTACACCCACTTAGCCATCTCACTGGCCCTTGCCTTTTATTTTTCTCTAACTAAACCTCCTGTTCTTCTCTCCCCACCCCCATGAGTAATTTTTTCCTCTCTTCCTCCCAAATATTGGAAAGCTTCTGGCAAGCTTTAAAAAATGTCCCATTAGTGGAGCAGAAAGATGGCCCAGCAGGTAAGAGCGCCAATGCCAAGCCTGAGGACCTAAGTTTGATCCACAGGACTGCGCAGTAAAAGGCGAGAATTGGCTCCAGCTGGATCTCACAGGTTTCTGCATACTGGTAGGAGTCCAGTCTTCTGGGAGAACCTTTACAGGCAGGATCAATCTTTCAAAGACTCCAGGTGCCCCCCAGGTGGGAATGAGGTGGCTCTATAGTTCCCTGTCAATTAGCAGCATCCAGAGATGAAAGTTGTTTTGATTTGGCAATAAGAGCAACATGTCTTAACATTTGGACTCATCAAAGCTTTATTGCCTTTACTGGTAATGAGGAACAACTGTCAAAACTATTGAGTTTTAGTAGATGTGGTGGTGAATGCTGCTAATTCAAGCACTAAGGAGGTAGAAGCAGATGGATATCTGTGAGTTTGAGGGCAGTCTGGTCTAGAGTGGAGTCTAGGCCAGCCAGGGAAACCCCGTTTCAAACACAAAACAAACAGGGATATGGGTTTTTCACACTGGAAGTTTAACAAAATGTCCTTAGAGAAAACAAAGAATACAGAAATTAAATTTCATAATTGATTTGGTAAGTAGCATTGTGGGGGTATATTCTTTAAAATAAGGCAAATCCAGTCTTAGGGATTGTTTATTATTGACACAGTCTCACTAGTCACCCAGATCAGTCTTGAACTTGTGATCTTTCCTGCTTCAGATTCCTAAGTAGCTAGGGCTACAGGACTACACCACCATAGCCAGCTAAGGGATTTGTAAACCAAATATGCTTGGGTTTCCGAATTGCCCAACATTATCCTTTCAGAGAGCCTGACAGTCAGTTTGTCCTCCCTAACTTGCCCCCCCACCCCCACCCCTTCATTCTGAGCACTTCAAACGGTATAAGGGAAATAAGCTTGTTTCTCTGCCAGCACCCAGAGTGTACAATTACCTGCTTTGTATTTCTATGAGCAAATTTCTGTGAAACTCTCCAACACCAGCCTTCGTGAAGTTTATTCAAGAAGGGAGTCACAAGCCCTGTCACGAGAACTTTTACTTTATGTGAAGAAACTCTGGAAAAGTTTAGGAAAGTGGTGGTTAACAACGATGAGAAAATTACTATTATAACTACTCAAGGAAACGCTAAGCTCAAAAGCAAAAACAAACACAAATCCCGAACTGGGCCCACGAGACTTCCTCCGGAGAAGTTAAGCATCAATTCAGCCTGCAGGTTTTAAAGCCCAGCGCCCCGTCCAGGAAGCAGCGAGCACGAGCACGGACCCCCGCTGTCCAGGCCGGAAAGGGCGGCGGAAGAGGCGGGTCTTCTGGGTGACGTCACGGGCCCCGAGCCGCTTGCCTTCCAGAGCGAACTGAGCGCGCGAGAATGGCGGTCACCAGCGAAGCTCTGGGCCTCTTGGTCACTGAGCTGTACGACGTGCAGGCTTTCAAGTTCGGGAGCTTTGTGCTGAAGAGCGGGCTCACCTCCCCTGTCTACATCGACCTGCGGGGCATCGTGTCCCGCCCGCGTCTTCTCAGTCAGGTGCCAGCCCCGAGGGACAGGATGGCTCCGGGTGGCGGGAAAGGAGAGCAGGAGGTGGCGGGTGTGGCCGGAGTTGGGGCGAGGGAGAGCCACAGACCAGGCAGGCGTGTCCCCCACTCTCCTGCTGGCCTGAAGAGTCTGTGGAGGAGCACAGAGGCCGGCAGCCGTCGGTCGGTCTCTTCGGGACCTTGTTCTTGACCGACCCGTATCGACACGTGCTTTGCGGGAGTCGGGCAGTGTGGCGGGGATTCGACCGGCGGAGAAGTCCTTGAGTGGCTTCTGTGTACTTAACCCCCAGAAAGTGAGACTTGGGGAGGAAAGGAAAAGGCGGGAGGGTGGAGAAATTAGTAGCTGGTCAAAGGACTCAATTTAGTAGTATGTGGCCAATAGCAAGAAATTAAAGCCGTATGTGGCGGACGCCAAGAAGGCAGGTTTTTTGTTTTCTGTTTTTGGTTAGTGGGGTAAACTGTACACGTTAGAGGTTTCTAACCCGGTGCTTCTCTCAAACCTTGGGTGGGTTATATGTGAATTGCCATGTGGTCGACCGCGAGATAATGCATTTCTAGCATAACAAGCTGCCAGCTGAACTGCTGAATAGAAGAGTGGAAATGCTGCAAGTGTTGTACCAGCTCCGCGTGACCATTGAGCACCTTGAAGTTTGTATTACTGCGTGTGTGTGTGCGCCCGCGCGCGCAAATATATGCGGGCGTGCATGTGCCATGGCACACTTGTGAGGGTCAGTGACAACTTGTAGGAGTGGGTTCTCTCCTTCCATCATGAGCATTGAAGGGATTGAATTCAGGTGGTCGTGCTAGGCAGAACACAGCTTTACTGGCTGAGTTCGTTTGCCTGCCAGAATTGTTAAAATAGCACTGGGGAGCTGGAGGTAGGAGGTTAAAGGTCACCCTAGTATGCTGTGTCAGTCGGTTTGAGGTCAGCCTGGACTACACAGAATTTGTTTCAAAACTAGCAAAATAGTTATAAGTTACTAGTGGCTACCCTGTTGGCTATTGTGACTGTAGAATATTTTCACCATCACAAAGTTCTATCAAGAAGACATATGTAGTCAGGCATGGTGGTGTACCCCTGTAATTCCTGCATTCTGGAAGCTGAAAGAAAATTATGAATTTGAAGTCAGTCTAGGTTACACTGGAAGTCAAACAAATTTAAAAGAAAAACCTCAACCAACACCACCCCCAAATGTATTAAGTTCCTGTCCCACACATGCTCACACATGTAAGGCTTGTTTCTTGGGTACCCATTTTGCCTGGTTATTGTAAATAGACTGAAGCACCCTAATTGAGCTGGCTTGAACCGTTAGCTTTTCACCATCCAGAATCTTGTTACGGTCAGGAATCTTGAAATGGCATCTCATCAGTGCAGAGAAACTTTATTACCAAGATCCTTCTAATGAACATTTTAAGTTTAAAAGAGGTTTATGTGAATAGATATTCTCAGTGTATGCACCCCCTCAGAAAAGCAATAGATTATATGCTTACTTTCAACTTCATAGTAATAAGTGATAACTGATGTGTGTACACATAAACAATTGGAGGGAAATGATAGTATTTATCTCACTAAAGGAACTCCCAAAATCTCTCTTTTTTTATAAATCTTTTTTTTAAAGGATTTTATTACGTATACAGTGTTCTGCCTGCATGCCAGAAGAGGGCACCAGATCTCATAACAGATGGTTGTGAGCCGCCATGTGGTTACTGGGAATTGAACTCAGGACCTCTGGAAGAACAGGCAGTGTTCTTAACCCCTGAGCCATCTCTCCAGCTCCCCCAAAATCTCTTATACGCTATGATTGCAGATTTATGTTTTGTATATATGCCCAGGCAATCTCTAGCAGACTCAAGATCATGATTTTTTTTAACTTGGTAGTCTTAAATTTCAGTTAATATACATCTCTGTTTAGATTCATGTAAAGAAGCTTGACAGATCAGTAAATACCCACAGGAAGAAATATGTATTGCGGTGTAATAATTCTGTGGACATAGTGAAATTTGAAAAAAATCATACATTTTCCAATTTTCATAGTCTGGCATATATGTATAGCCTGTATGTTACTGGAATTTTGGTCCAGGCTGTGAGTGCACCAAGCAAAATGCTCTGCCACTGACCTTCCCCCTAGTACCTGCCTCCTTCCCACACTCATTACAGATAATGATACAAAAGTTCTGGATGTGTTCTTGATTTTAGTACTGGGGATTGCACCCCTTGCAACTAAAAAATAGTCATAGACTTTTAAGAGCACAGAAGCAGCTAGGCATGGGGTGGTACATGCCCATAATCTCAGCACATAGGAGGAGGTTGAGGCCGGTTTTGAGAGTCTCCAAAACAACCCCCCCTCCCCTTAAGTGTAATGATGGATAATGCAAGAATAAAATATTTTAAAAAGCTAACTTGGTTCATGAACAACTCTGAGCCTTTAAAAATGAAAACCTCAAAATAAGATAGTGTTAGATAAGAGTATGCATTCTAACATTAGATTATGGTTGATTTGGCCTGGTATAGTTAGTTGCACATGTCTTTAAAGTGCCCAGGAGGCAGAGGCAGCTCTATGAGTTCGAGACCAGCCTGTTCTACTGAGTGAGTGCCAGGACAACCAGGGCTGCACAGAGAAACCCTGTCTTGAAAAGGAAAAGAAGAGGAGGAGAAACCCTGTTTTGGGGACCCCTCCCCCAAAGAAAAATGAATGACTTATGTGAGAAAGATAAAATTCATTTCACACAATAGGCTCTATGCTTAGGAGAGTGTTCATTGAAGACTTCTTTCAGAAAGAAGCAGCCATGCTTCTAGGGATTCAAGGTCTACGGGGTAGATCATTCTGACATTTCATGTTGCCTTCGGAGTAGGTCCTGCATCTAGATGAACAGGTTCATGGTGTTTATGTTTGCATGCTAAGTTTCAAGATTGTTTTGATGGGTCTCAATCAGTTGCTTAATACTTTATCTCATGAGCTTAGATAGGCTTAACAGTCAATTGTTATAAATAATCCATTTAGAGTTTAGGATTCTTTTTTTTTTTAATCGCCCTGGGGAATTTATTTCCATCTATTCTGCTATTGCATGACTCACAGCATTCTAAGTAGTAGTAATAATGGAGGTTTATGTTCTGTTGTTACGCTGCTGTGTGTACAAAAAAATACTCTAAAATCGTAGTAATAATGGGAAGTTTGTCTTCTTTTCTTACAGGTCGCAGATATTTTATTCCAAACTGCAAAAAATGCGGAGATCAGTTTTGACAGTGTGTGTGGAGTTCCTTACACAGCGTTGCCTCTAGCTACAGTTATCTGTTCAACCAATCACATTCCCATGCTCATTAGAAGGAAGGAAACAAAGGATTATGGTAAAATAAAAATAGCATAAGCCTCAAGTTACTGTATAACCTGTTAGGATTTTGTTCTCTTTCAGGCCCCGATGCTTACTAGAGCTGTTGATGTTCTTCAGAGGCCTGATGAGCTGTTGAGTTGACTTGCTCCAGAAGACCTTCCTGGGTCTGAAGTGCTTTGTGTTGATTGGGGAGTAGAAAGAGAGTGCTTGGTGAACCCTGGCCTTTGTATTGGCTCTTCCTTCATCAGCAGGCTGTTGTAAGAGCACATACTTCTAGGTATACTTACATCTAAATGCATGTAGTCAGGAAGAGGAAAATTACTGCTAGGAAACTCAGAGTGGTGGGGTCCATAACAATAGAGTATCAGGCTTTAAAACCTGAAAATCAGTCTAAAAACATCCGGGCTGAGTTGATACTTAATGATATTTAAAAATCAATGGGATTTTTTTTTTTTGCTTTTTTTAAATTGATATGGCAGTGCTGTTTTTAGAAGAGATCTTTTAAGATAAACTGCAATATCTGGGATATCTAAAAATCATGAGTTCAGCGAGATAGCTCAACAGGTAGAGGAGGAGCCTGCAGCTAACTCTGACCTGAGTGTAGGCGTTGGAAGGAGAGAACCTGCTACTGTAGGCGTCCTTTGACCTCTACACATGTGCCCACACACATACATAACGTTGTGAGGGACAGGATGGAATAAGGATGTAGATATTGACCATGAGTTAAGTGGTAAGTTTCTGATTATACTATTTTGAAGCTAAAAATAAATTACTTTCCCATGAGGAATGTGGCTCTGTTTCCTCCTGTGTTCACAATGTTCATGAAACTCTTTCATCAGTGTACCTGCAAGTATACTCTTACTTCATTCTAGGATTAGTTAAGCTTGCCATTTGTCAAGAAAGGGTAAAGAGGAAAGAAATGGGGATGGTGAAAGATGATTTCCTATAGTAAGACTCAAAAATGAGCTAAAATGTCTCCATGTTTTGTTTCAAAATAATTGGCAGTAGAAAATATAAAATTGAGACTCAAAAAATGAATAGGAAGCCTAGAGCCTGACTTATTTACATTTTGTAGGTGATAGTGGGGCTTGAGGGTAGAAAAGTCACATTGTATAATTCACCATGATTATGGTATCCAACAAGTTGTGTAGTGTTTCCCATCTGAATTTAGTTTGAGTGTTTTGTCTGCGTGCATATGTGTACCACATGCATGTAGTGTCAGCAGAGACTAGACTCGGGCATTAGAGCTTCTGAAGCTGCAGTTCCATATGGTTGTGAGCTGCCATGTGGGTTCTGGGAACTGAGTCAGGTTCTCTGTAAGAACAGCCAATGCTCTCAACCACTGAGCCGTCTCCCTGGCCCTATTTTCTTTGTTTGACGCAGGGTCTTGCTATATATCCTTGACTGGCTCACGTGGCCTAGACTGATAGTACTCAGGAGGGCTGCCTGAGCCTTACTAAGATAATAGGCATGTGTCACACCTGGCTTTTAAATTGCCTTTAAAAAGGCAATTTTTTTTTTATTTTTATTTTTTTTTTTTGGTTTTTCGAGACAGGGTTTCTCTGTGGCTTTGGAGGCTGTCCTGGAACTAGCTCTTGTAGACCAGGCTGGCTCGAACTCAGAGATCCGCCTGCCTCTGCCTCCCCAAGTGCTGGGATTAAAGGTGTGCGCCACCAACGCCCGGCTTGGCAAATTTTTCAGTCGATTGTTGATTACAAATTTATCACTCATGATTTTATTGATGATACTATGTTTTTCATATAAGTGATCTTGCTTTAAGAAACTGCTCATTTGTTCAGAAAAGAGTTTTTATTTACATTGTAAAATAATTTGTTTTACTGTAACCTGTATATAAGTGGTATTTTGGAGATACAGAGGATACCGAACAAAACAATTATGGCACGTTGAGTAATCAACAGAAAGTAGCTTAAGAGTAAATGGTCGTGAATAAAATGTGAAGAATCTTAACTCTTTGTAAGTACATAGTAAATGTATTCAGGATATATTTTGAGGTAGCTGAAATTTTTTTATATATTTCTTTCAACAAAAGCTTTTCTTTTCTAGGTACCAAGCGTCTTGTAGAAGGAGAGATTAATCCAGGGCAGACCTGTCTGATCATTGAAGATGTGGTCACCAGTGGGGCCAGTGTTTTGGAAACTGTTGAAGTTCTTCAGAAGGAGGGCCTGAAGGTTACTGATGCCATAGTGCTGTTAGACCGCGAGCAGGGAGGCAAGGACAAATTGCATGCTCAGGGGATCCGTCTCCACTCCGTGTGCACATTGTCTAAAATGCTGGAGATTCTCGAGCAGCAGAAAAAAATTGATGCTGAGATGGTCGGGAGAGTGAAGAGGTTCATTCAGGAGAATGTTTTCACTGCAGCTAATCACAATGGTGTTCCCCCTCCTGAGAAGAAAGCATGTAAAGAACTCAGCTTTGGTGCACGAGCGGAGCTGCCTGGTGTCCACCCACTGGCCTCAAAACTTCTCAGGCTGATGCAGAAGAAGGAGACCAATCTCTGTCTGTCTGCTGATGTCTCTGAGGCCAGAGAGCTGCTGCAGCTAGCAGATACCTTGGGACCCAGCATCTGCATGCTCAAAACTCATGTCGATATTCTGAATGATTTCACCCTGGATGTGATGGAGGAGTTGGCAGCTCTGGCAAAACGCCACGAGTTCTTAATTTTTGAAGACAGGAAATTCGCTGATATAGGAAACACAGTAAAAAAGCAGTATGAAGGTGAGTATGTTCAGAAATCTGATGTAGACTGGTCATGGGGGAGAAGACATACCGGTTCATGAGTGAGAGTCAGCATAGGAACACACTGTCAAAGCAGTTGATTCCAGGCACTGACCTGACACCTTCGACATTGTTTCTCTCCATTGGTCTCCGTTCTGTTTCTCTGTTGACCTGTTTCTCAGGGTGTAAACTCCCTTCATTAGCTGCCCAGGGGGACACTCCTGCTCCTGCAAGTACAAGATTCAACTCTTTTTAATCATCATGGACTGAGATCCCTGTCAATTCTCTTAAAGAAAATGAGTGGGCTGCTATCAGAAGGGTACGTGTGAGTTCTAGGCAGGCAAAACAAGGCGTGTTGGCCCTGACTAAAAATTGCCAGTATAAGAAAGGATGGGAAAGAAGTTTAAGAATATGTTCAGCAGCATAATGCATTGATAAACTTTTAAGTTTTTACTATCAGTCAGGTGAAGCAGCTTGTAAGTGTCCTGGGAAATGCTTAAACCTATACCTGTTTTGCACGCAGACTTCTCAGAAACAGGCTGGTGGTGCATGCCTTTCATTCTAGCACTTTTATCTGCCTCACAGAAGGCAGAGGCAGGTGGATCTCTTGAGTTTGAGGCCAGCCTGATCGCAATAGAGTTCCAGGACAGCCATGGCTACACAGAGAAATCCTGTCTCGAAAAACCAACAACAAAAAGAAACAAGTGGCCATAGTAGGTACTGTGTAGTTCTGACCATTTCACTTGACTGCGTAGCCACGTGACTTCCTGTTTTTAGTGCTTGCCTCTACTTAACTATTTCTCTCAAGTATAATTGTCTGCTACCTCATGTACCATGTCCTACCATGACTACATTGCTTCTCTTAGTTGAGCTTACTGGCTGAAGTCAGAGTTGTATTTATATAACCTTGCTTTAGGCTTGTGTGTTGGTTTTTCAAAAATCTGCATTTTTACTACGGTTTAAAATGTATACAATTGGCTGGAGAGATGGCTCAAAGGTTAAGAGTACTTCCAGAGGTCCTAAGCAACCATCTCTGAGATCTGATGCCCTCTTATGGCATGCAGGCAGAACACTATACATAATAAATCTTTTTTAAAAAGTATACAGTTGCCTCTTAAGATTAGAAAAGGCAAGGAACCTGTAGAGGGTCAAGTTGCTGAGAGATGTGTTTGAAAATTAGTGAATATCTTTCTTTTTTTGAGACAGGGTTTCCTCTATGTAACAGCTCTAGCTGTCCTGGAACTTGGTTTGTAGACCTGGCTGACCTTGAACTCACAGAGATCTGCCTGCTGAGTGCTGGGATTAAAAGCATGTGCTACCACTTCCTGGCTAAGAAATCTAACTAGTGACTGCTTGATTTTTCATCTTTTCAAACACAGTAAATACCTTTTTTTTTTTTTAATTCCGTAGGTGGCATCTTTAAAATAGCTTCCTGGGCAGATCTAGTAAATGCCCATGTGGTACCAGGCTCCGGAGTTGTGAAAGGCTTGCAGGAAGTGGGCCTGCCTTTACATCGAGCATGCCTGCTCATTGCAGAGATGAGCTCGGCCGGCTCCTTGGCCACTGGGAACTACACCAAAGCGGCAGTAAGTACTGGGGTGCTGGGGTGAGTGTGTGCTGTATGTTCTAGGGCAAGGCAAGACCTTCATTGGAGGTCTGTGGGAGCCCTGGCCTCGCCTCTCATGCCCTCCTCCTCAACTCAGCCATTACTGGACAGCTTATTAACACCAGTTGAATTCAACTCTTTGATCTTGTAGCCGGTGAAGGGGTTGAATTGTACTACAGATCATTAAGACATAACTGCCTATGCTTGTCTTTTCATCTTGAGGCAAAACTAAAGATGGTTGAATTTTAAGTTGCTCTTCACATTTTCCTATGATAAATTTAGTCTTACAGAAAGTAGATGATATTTATAGACTAAGGAACACAGTAACGCTTTAATTACATGTCTAGTGTTTTGCCTGCATGTATGTCTGTACTATACGGTACTCATGGAAGACAATAGGGAGAATTGGATTTCCTGAAACTGAAGTTACAGGTGGTTGTGAGCCACCATGTGTGTGCTGAGAATGGAACGTGGGTCCTCTAGAAGAGCAAGCAGCCAGTGCTCTTAGCTGCTGAGCCATTGATCCAGCCTGCTGTGGTAAATTTAAAACCCCACCCTGAACCAACCATAAGTACTGGCTTCCTAGGTCTCAAAAGCAAAAGGTCTGTGGGGTCTGACTCGGGGGCAAGCTGTCCCTTGCTGGTGGTAATAGCTGATAGCAAGGCTGACGTGAGAGCTGGACAATAGCCAATCAGAAAGCCAGGCCTGCTTTACCTGTGATGAAATAGTATGGGAATGAGGCCAGTAAAGAGTAGGTGCTAAAGAGGGAAAGTGCTGGAAGAGTGCTGCTTAGATAAAACAGCTACATCTTCAAGAGCTGTGATGCTATACACCCCGCATCCTTGGAAGTAGGTGAGTCACCAGGCATTGTTACAAGTAAGAATTATACAGCATCTTGTTTGATGCTTATACTGTAGAAGTTCTGGTCTTTTCAAGCATGGTTTGTTGGAGGAAGGGGTCATCTCAGGACCTTTTACTTAGACTGGCTTTTTTGTGTTACTGTCTATTATGTCCCATGTAGGTTGGGATGGCTGAAGAGCACTGTGGATTTGTGGTTGGCTTTATTTCCGGCTCCCGAGTAAGCATGAAACCTGAGTTTCTTCATTTGACCCCAGGAGTTCAATTGGAAACAGGAGGTAAGTGTGCTCACTAGTTACGGCAGAGTAACACACTATGCTGTGATGTGTTGTCTTAGTCTAGAACAGAGAGCAAGCCCTTTGGCCTGGTGATAGCGTGTTCTGTGTTTGTAAGACAGCTTACAGTTTAATTTTAGAAAGCTACTTTGTCCAGTGACGAGGCCTGGACCTAGAACTTGAAGAGATCTGCCTAACTCTGATGTGTGCTACATGCTGGCCAGAAACTTGATATTTTAGGTTAGCATTTCCTAATTGGTGCTCTGAGTATGCCTCCTGTTCTGTGTTCTGAAAGGTCTTGAAAGCCCTTGGCTAAGCAGTTAGATGATTGTCAGTGGTTCCTAAACTCGAAACAGTCTGAAATGCAGGTGTGTAAAAACAGACATGGGTAAGGCCTGGTGTAGTTCTATAGTGTGTTCTTAGCTGACATGAGGTTCTGGGTTTAGTTTCCAGCACCTGCCTGCCAACAAAAGTGTAATTGTCCTGTAGGACTCAGTACATGGGTTTAGTTTTGAAGGAGATAGAGGGGGATTGGTTATTACTTGGGTGTGTCTCAGCTGGTAGAGTGCTTGCCTAGCCGCATAAGTTCTGGGGTTCATCCCCAACACCTCATAAATCAGCTGTGGTGTTTGTGTCCTAGTTACAAAAGAAAGTTTTGACATGTTCCATGTGTGAGAGCATGTAGTTTATAACCAGTAACACCTCTGTGTATTTTTCTGTCTATTGAGTATTTCTAGGAATCCCTTGTAGATCGAAAGCTTTTTTGAACTCGGGTTTCTCAGCTCTCTCTACCAAGGAGTGGGAAATATGCAGGTGGTGTGTCATTGTTTAAAGCATTGATTTTTCAAGCACTGCCTTTTCGTTATAGACAGGGGGTCAGAAAACCAGTGGTGCAGTTACATGCACACCTCAGATTTTACACACTGTGGAGTAGATAGACCTTCTAGACACCTCCACAGACTGAGTGGCCTTGGAGTCAACAACTCTTGGTTTTTTAAACTGCATTTGTGCTGGTCTACATTCTCGGCCCTTTTGTTTTAGACAAGATCTTTCTATTCAGTCCTGGCTATCCTGGAACTTAGAGATGCTCCTGTCTCCCAAGTGCTGGGTCTAAAGGTGTGCACCACCGGTAACCTGGCTTATTTTTTCTCGTGTAGCATAAATCGGCCTCGAATAGTGCTTATGTCACTATTTTCAGTTGACTAAATTGAGGTCTTGCACATGCCAGGCAAGCCTTCTAATAGCCCCAACACTACTTTTAAAAAATTAAATGCATAATTTTATTGTATTTTTTGTAAAACGGTTTTGAGGCAACAACTCTTACAGTAAAGCCAGAATAAACTACTTTTAATCTCATCATCTTTGATCTGTGGAGTGGAGGGATTATAGTCCTGACCTTAAAATAGTGGGAAGGCATGAACAGCATCCATTTAGCACAGTGCTTACTTACAAAGCCAGCTGCATTTGACTGCTTTGTAAGCCCCTGCAATTCTTTCCCTAGTTAGCACACTAGAGCCCCAAAACCCATTTAACATAACATTTCTAGAACAGAAATTAATAAAAAAAAAAACCAGCCTTCAGGGATTAGGGTCTATCAAGGTATAGTGGCAAATTGTGTTTAATACCAGCATTAGGGAGTTAGACAGATTTCTGAGTTCAAGGCCAAAAACAAAGGATTAGGGTCTGCGAACTTGGTGGGATTGTAGCAGAAAGGTTATGAATAGTAAGGTGTATACATGCTGTCTGGATTTCTTAGACTGATCCTGTCACCTCCCATGTCTCCCACAGGCTTCCTGAGTTTGCATTATGTTAAATTGCTTTTGTTTCTCTACAGGGGATCACCTCGGCCAACAGTACAATAGCCCTCAGGAAGTGATTGGCAAGCGGGGTTCTGATGTCATCATCGTAGGCCGGGGAATACTTGCAGCGGATAACCGCCTGGAAGCAGCCGAGATGTACAGAAAAGCTGCCTGGGAAGCTTACTTGAATAGGCTTTCTGTTTAACGAGAAGACACTGAAGATGACTGGTACCCCACGAGTCACTGACTCTGGTGCTCAGGGTCCTGCCCAGAGCCAGAGGGAAACAAACTCTGGAGCCATCGTATTCTCTTTAACGTGTAATCACTGCATTGGTACTAACTAGAAAGAGCTCTTTTTAAAGATGGTATTGATGGTATTTGTTGACAGTCACTGTCTTTCTGATTCCCTTCATCTCAGTCACATTTAATATTAGCTAGCCACTTAACCTCCTTCAGTGCTATGAAGCTGGACCCTTTTAAATGGAGCAGAAGTTCTGGTTCATTCTACTTCGGGCATGGGTATGTAAAAAGTCACAGCTTCATCTGGACAGCAGACTGCTGCATCTAAGAAAACAGTAGTACCATTTCCCCACTGTCTTTGCTAATGGGCTGGAGGCTCATAATGCTGGCTCTTCCAGAGGATCAGCATTCAGTTGACTCACAACCATCTGTAACTAGTTTCAGGGGCTCCAACTTCCTCAGGCTGCAGCTCCACACTATATATTACATACTATACACACACACACATGTATGTATGTATTTCTATAGTGTACATACTTTTAAAAAGTAGTCTTTGCCAGTCCTAAAAGGGAGAGTTTTAGTGCAAAAGTCTGTGCCCATTGCAAGTGGAATTCACAGCCCTGCTGCAGTGTCCCCACCCACACAACCCTGAGCCATTCCCCCCTTTGGTTCACACCTTACCAAGTGAAGAACCACCACCATGGTTTCTGTCCTCTATACATCTGCAGTGCCTTCTTACCCCTTCCAGAAGGAAAGATCCTTTAGCAGTCAGCAGATGGATAGCTGTTATGTAAATAGTCCAGACTTGAGGAGACGGGTGTGTATCAGATGGAATGGTCAAATAGTGAGCCTAGATGCTGACCACGTAGCCTGCTAACTTTCTTCTCACACCTATAAAAAGATGAGCGGAATCAAAGCAGTTAAAAGTTCTTGAAGGAGGGCAAATCACAGCATGATCCCATCAGGACAAGACAGAAGGGAGGAGAGTAAGCCATGGATCTAGGTGCATTTGCACTAACATCTGGGAAAAGCTGTCAGTGTAAAGCATCTCTTAACAGCTGTGTGCTTTTAGGAATCCAAAGGGACCCTTTTGGTTTTAAGGTGCAAACCTAAATGGAGGCCCTGAAGTTTCAAGTCCACACATATACACGGTTCTAAAACGATTTTTCAGTTCATTTCTACAAAGCCAGGTCTTCAGGGAAGGATTCAGAGGGAAAATACCTATTAGCATAATACATTAAAGTCCCGTACTGTTAATTCACATCAGCATTTGAGGAATAGGAAACATAACGTCCTCTTGACACAGGCTTCCTGTGTTGATCTACCCATATAACGCAGCATGGGAGTGTCACTCCAACACCCTGTTTAAGTTATATAATTTACCTAAGAAAATAGCTTTGTCACTTTAGATGTCTCCAATGTTTACTCCATAAAGATATTATCCAGTGCCCTCTTGTTTGTTGTGTAAGCAAAAACTATAGGCTATCAGAACATATTCATGTCCCACTGAAGGTGGCATTTGCATGAAATCCTCTTAAATATTCAGGGGGACCATTGATGTGCCAGTTTTTTGTTTTTTCCTTTTGTCAGTGTGACACATCTGGGAAGAGGGATGGAGTGCTCACTCTGTAGACTAGGTTGCCCTCAAATTTGGAGATCCACCTTGGGTTAAAGGCTGCCCTACCACTGCCCTGCAGAAGAGGGTACCTTAATGTAGAAAATGCCTCTAAGATTGGTCTGTAGACATGCCTGAGGGGGCATTTTCTTGATCGGTGATTGATGTGGCATCGAAGGGCCCAGTCCACAGTGGGCAGTGCCATCCCTAGGCAGGTAGTGGTGAATTGCACAAAAAGTGCTAACAAGCCAGTAAGCAGCTTCCTCCATGGCCTCTGCCTCAGCTCCTGCCTCTAGGTTCCTGTTGTGATAGACTGTGACCCGAGGCTTATAAGCTGAAATAAACCCTTTCCTCCCCGAAATGCTTTTGTTGACAGCAATGGAAACCTAAGAATTGGGTAGGGAAAGCAGACCACTATAAAATTTGGTCATCTCAGGACTGGGGGCTTGATTAGCTGTAACCCATTTTGGCAGGTTTTTTTTTTTTTTTTTTTTAAGAAAGGATCTTGTCATGTAACCCATAAACTCACAATCTTGCCTCAGCCTCAAATGCTAGGATTATAGGTGTGCACACCAAACACAGCCTCATCTCAGCAGTTTCAGAACAGTCACTAGAGTGTATTTGCTATAACTCATTTCACTGTGTGCTCTATGAAAGGTAATGTGATGCAGAACTTCTGAAAGTGGCGACTTAAAACACAAATAGTGGCTGGCGATTCAGGCCCTCCATGGTGATACATACTTCACACTGAAGTCTTTGTTGCTGTACCTGACTAAAACTAGGTATGTTACCATGCTGACCTAGAACTCTTGGTGATCTACCTTGGCGACCTGAATTCTTGGATTAAAGGCCTATGCTACTGCACTAGGCAGAATTCTTAAATACTGGTTTTGTTTTTCCAATTCAGGACTACAGAAATGAGCATCAAAAGGGCTACTGTAGGAGCTGGGCTCTGGTGGTGCACACCTTTAGTCACAGCACTCTGGAGGCAGTGACTGAAGGTGGATCTCTGATTTATAGAAGAAACCCTGTCTTGAGAAAGCCTATCAAAAAAGGGGGAGGGCTACCATAGAGACTGGAGAGATGGTGGTTAAGAGCACTTGGTATTCTTCCAGAGGACCAGGTTCAATACCTAGCACACATTTGGCACCCCAGCCTATGTACAGCCCTAGGAGGATCCAAGGCCCTCTTCTAGCCTCTGAGGACACTGTAGGCACATGGTATATGGACAAGAGCAAAACACCCATACACAAAACTTAAAAACGAAAACATTTTAAAGGCTGCTGTAGCCAACTGACTATAGCAATTTTGACTTGGACCAATCTTGCAGAAATGTTTCAAACATGTAAAGATCCCCAGCATCCATGTAAAAGTCAGCACCCACTGTACATCATAAGAAGGGGTGGGGACCAGCAATTCCACTCTTAGGCATATACCCGAAAGACTCCCCTTCACACAACAAGGATGTCTGTTCCACTATTTTCATAGCAACATTATATGTAATAGCTAGATCCTGGAAGCAACCTAGATGCCCCACAGCTGAAGAGTAGATAGAGAAAATGTGCATTTACACAATGGAGTACTGCTCAGTGGAAAAAACAAATGGAATCTTGAAATTTGCAGGCAAATGGATGGCACTAGAGGAAACCATCCTGAGTGAGGTAACCCAGACACAAAAAGAAAACATGGTATGTACTCACTCATTTATGGATTTTAGATATGGATCAGGGGAGTGTCAGCCTACACTCCCAGTGCCAGTGAGTCTGAGAAACAGGGAGGTTCCTAAGAGAGATGCATGATACCCCAGAGAAATGGAATGAGGCAAGATCTCCTGAGCAGATAGGGGAGGGGAGAGGGAGCCAGGAAAAAAGGAGATAGGAAGGAAGAAGAAGGCATGGGGGAGCAGGAAGGTTGAGTCTAGGTAAGAATAGAGGAGAGCAGGATGAAAGATACCATAATAAATGGAGTCATTATAGGTTTGAGGAGAGAGCTGACATTAGTGAGATCTCCAGAGATCTACAAGGATAATACCAACTGGCAAACTAAACAATAGTGGAGAGACTACATTAATAGTTGGTTGATGACTACCTTATGTGCCATCCTAGAACCTTCATCCAGTGACTGATGGAAGCAGAAGCAGACATCCACAGCTAAACACTGAGCTGAACTCCTGGAATCCAGTTGCAGAGAGGCAGGAGTGATGAGCCAAGGGGTCAAGACCATGATGGTGAAACCCACAAAGACAGCTGACTGGATAAGGGGGAGCTCTTGAATCCCAGACTGATGCCTGAGAGGCCAACAGGGGACTGATCCAGACTCGATGAATGTAGTCTCAGGGAGGAGGCCACAGAAATCACTGGGGCCTTAGGTAGTATATCAGTGCTTACCATGGTTTACCAAAGAGCTTTGGGAGCCCATTCCAAATAGAGGGATGCTCTCTCAGCCTGGACACACAGGGAAGGGCCTAGGTCCTGCCCTGGATGAAATGACAGACTTTAGAGATCTCCCCCAAGGAGGGCCTCACCCTCCCTGGGGAATGATGTGGGGATTGGGTGGGGGACTGGGGGTTGGTGGAGGGACAAGGGAGGAGGGGTGGGAGAGGGAGGGAGCTGGGATTGACATGTGAACCATTCATGTTTCTAATTTAAATAAAAATATTACAAAAAAGGCAATTTTCACACACACACACAGAAGGGGTGAGGACAGATGGACAGACAGGATTCCTGAAGCTCTCTGACAAATTAGTGTAGCCAAATTAGTGAGCTTCAGGTTCTGTGAGACCCTGTGTCAAAACACACACATCATGTAGGAGGCAGAGGCAGGCAGATCTCGGAGTTCTTGGCTAGCCTGGTCTACAGAGGACAGCTAAGGCTACACAGAGAAACCCTGTCAATAAATAAAGTGGTTAGGCAAGCAGGTAATTCCATATTCCACCAATCCTGAACCTGAGTTCAATCCCAGGGTTACACAGAGAAACCCTGTTGATAGACGATGGATGGATGGATGGATGGATGGATGGATGGATGGATGGATGGGTAAATTAAGTGGTTGGATGAGGTAATTCCATATTCTACCAATCCTGAACCTGAGTTCAATCCCTGGGACCTACATGGTGAAAGGAGAGAACCAGTTCCTGCAGATTCTCTGACCTTCTTGTGCAAGCCGTGGCATGCACACATGCACACACACACACTCACAAAATACAAGATAGAGAGCAAGAGAAACCCTGTCTCGTAAAAACCAAAAAAAAAAAAATTCTCTCTCTCTCTCTCTCTCTCTCTCTCTCTCTCTCTCTCTCTCTCTCTCTCTCTCTCTCAGAGAGAGAGAGAGAGAGCAATTAAGGCACCTGGTGTCAATCTCTGGCTTCCACACACATGTGTGCATACACAAACATAGGTACACACAAAGAGCTTTTTATATCTCATAAAACAAGCTCAGGTTCACACTAACACCAGATCAAGCCTGGATTATCTATGTAGCAACACACTGGAGGAGGGAACACCAACAGGAGCCAGGTTCTAGTTTTGCAAGTTCACCTTACAGCTTCACTGTCTAGAAGCATGTCTTAATATATGTTCAGATTGTTTAAAACCAGTAAAAATTAGGTAGTAAGTGGTTTGGGCTTGCAGGTCTTTTGTACACAGTTTCATAACCCTAGGGGCATGCTTCCTCCTTACAAAGCTTTTGCTGTCAAACAAAAAAGCCCCTGGTTTCCCTGCACCACATAAAGCCAAGATGCTCCATTAGTAGGTACGGTCTTTTGAGACAAGGTCTCCCTCTGCAGGTGACTGACCTGGAACTCTGTAGACCAGGCTGGCCTCCAATTCACAGAGATCCAGTTGCTTCTGCCACCCTAGTGCTGGAATTAAAGGTATGCGCCACCACTGCCTGGCTCCAACATGAATCGTGAATGCAACTCATTCAATTGCAAATAAAAACAAGCACAGGTGAGGGGCAGGCAGCCCCTCACGTTCTTCGCACAACTTTGCTCAGGCGTGTATTGTTGTTTACATTTCATGCTGTGCTGTGTATGTATCTGTTTCACTGGTGACATCCAGAGGAGGGAACCACATCCACCTTGTGTACCATTGTACCTCTGCCCTAAACAGAATGTGAAACAGGGCTGGAGAGACAGCTCAGAGGTTAAGAGCATGGACTGCTCTTCCAGGGGTCCTAAGTTCAATTCCCAGCAACCACATGGTGGCTCACAACCATCTACAATTCAATCTGATGCCCTCTTCTGGCATGTAGGCAGAACACTGTATATGTAATAAATAAATAAATCTTTTTTTAAAAAAGCAGAATGTAAAACAGCTGGTCAACAGCCTGATGAGTGTGTGCATCCCATCATTGCATCTTCTGATAGTCAGGCTATTTCTCCGTGAAAGAACTGTTTCTTTTTTCAGAATTAAAAAAAAACTTATTATGTATACACACACCAGAAGAGGGCATCAGATCTCATTATAGATGGTTGTAAGCCACCATGTGGCTGCTGGGAATTGAACTCAGGACCTCTGAGCCATCTCTCCAGCCCCCAGAATTATATACATATATAATACATACATACATCCTTTCCAATCATCAAAATTAGGAATCAACCCTCGTCAAAATCATGTCTTCTAACGGCTATCACAGTAAAATAAGGATTAATGAGCAAGTTTCAGTATTTTTTTTTTACGAGACAGGGTTTCTCTGTATTGTTTTGGAGGCTATCGGTCCAGCCCAGCCTCGAACTCACAGAGATCCGCCTGCCTCTGCCTCCTGAGTGCTGGGATTAAAGACGTGCGCCACCACCGCCCGGCAAGTTTCAGTATTTTAACCTCAAAATGGTCCATAAATTCCAAAAGAGTTCATCATTTATTTCAACATCCACTACTCAACACCTCAGGAGAGTGGGGTTCCCCAAACAAGGCCCTTCACAGATTGTAATGCTTTTAGGCTCTATTCATTATCAATAATTCAGGTTTAAAGTGTTATTTAAGCAGTTAGTCATTGGAGTTTCAGGAAAGTCACTCCAAAATCCGTTATTGTGCAATGATCAAAACACCTGAAAGGCAGCAAAAGGCAAGGCTGAGTTCCCTTCACTTCAATACAGGCAGAGCCTCGGATGGACTCCTCGGTTCCCCTGCCCTCAACCAGTTCTCCTCACAGGACAGAGCTGTCCATGCCTGAGAGCAGGTGACAGCCGTGCTCTGTCCCTCCGAGGGCCATTCATTAAGAACCATCCATTCAGAGCATCTTCACCCTAACCATTTGGCTCACTTCTGTCTCTTGGCAGAGTCCAGGGGTGTGGTGGGGCACCCTTTTAAATCTGTATTAGGCAAGCCAGCTCTCAGGCCAGTGTTATAAGACAGACACCTGGCCAAGAGAAGGGCAAAGCTGTTACACAGACATCTGCTGCTTCACCTTGGAAGTGCCAAGGTGAAGTTCAGCTCCCTCTCCAAGTCCAGACAAGAGCTTTCTTCCAGAGCAGCCGTTTCCTTCCACCAAGGCAAGTATCTAGAACTGAGTAGATCCCAGGGTCTTAACAGCATGGCTGAGTGTAGGGCAGAGGTTCCCTAACACCAGTACAGCAGCCGACAAGGCTCTCCCATGCTAGACGGAAACACTTGTCCATCATGCTAAGATCTTAACCAAGGCTCAAGCCCTGAGTGCTCAATTTTAAAAACAACTTTAAGCAACCTGAGTGCTACGAGGTGAGTCCCACTGAAAAGTCTTTGATGCCTTATTCTTTTAAGGTACCCCACAAACTCCCTCACTACGGCCTCTGCAACCCCATGTTCCTGTTAGGGCTCACCCATTTCTAAATACAATAAAAAGAAGTGTAAACTCTGGGGTTCTTTGTGTTTGAGGCAGGGTTTCTTTGTGTAGTCCTGACTGTCCTGAACTCACTCTGTAGACCAGGCTGGCCTTGAACTCAGACATCTGTTTCTGCCTTCCAAGAGCTAGGATTAAAGGTATGTGCCATCGCTCCCAGTGTGGGGTTTATAAGAATTTGTTATGTAAACAAATTCTAAATGGAGTAGAGTTTCTGACATTTCTGTTTAACCAAGATAGCCAACCCCAAACTTATAGACCCTCTCATAGCACAAACTAGGTATGACCCCAGGCTGGGTGCTCTCACAGCATAATCCAATATCAGGCAGGTCTCAGAAACTGGAATCCTAGAAATCTAGACTTAGGCCCTCCATCTAAAACCTGACCAGGCTTCTGAGCCCAGTACAGTTTTGTCTGACAGGGAGCCTCTTCAGGATCCAGTCCTGTTCCTACTGAAACCAGTGATACTGAGACCTCCTCTTCAGGACCCAGGCCGGTTTCTGTTAGGACTTCCACAGCCCAGACCAAAACATTTGCTGAAACTTGCCTCTATCCAAAGTCACAGAGCTGTGGAAGGCATCTTCCCAGGATTCCCAGCAGCAGTAAGAAGCCAGCGGAGTCCCATCTAACAGCCATGGGAACATG